ACCCATTTGGACTATAAAAACAGCAGACGGATTGTTTTTTAACAGTTTTCAGGGCTACAATGTTGCCTTGAAATCGGTTGCATCTTCCCTTTTGCTGTTGTGATCATATTTAATTCTTTTTTGTACAAATCATGTATGTGGGATACATTTTGGATAAAGAAACTGGCATGTATCACCAAGGGCCAGTAAGAAGATCGAGCATCAATATGCCTCCACAGAACTTTGTTTCTACACCTCAGTACCCAGACTTTACTGGATACCATCATGTGCCAAACATGGAAACGCACGCACAGTCTGCGGGGAGTTGGGGAGCCACTTATGGAGCTCCACGGGAAGACTGGGGTGCATACAGCCTGGGACCACCTAATACTGTCCCCGCACCCATGAACAACTCCTCTCCCGTACAGGTTCCCTACTGCTCATCCGAGTACAGTCACATGCACCCTCCGGGATCTGCGGTGTTACAGCCGCCGCCGGAAAACGTTAATGTTGCACAGCTTTCTCCTGATAGAGAAAGACGCAATTCTTTCCAGTGGATGAGTAAAACTGCGCAATCATCATCTACAGGTCAGTAATTGTAACATTGTGCCACACTTGGTTTATGCGATTGTCTTGGTTTTTGCAACAGTAACCTTTTACGCACTCAAGTTTTGTGTTTCTGTTCGAGTTGTTTGACTTTGCCTTGTCTTTTTTAATACATTTTCCTATCGAATGTATTAGGCCTACTTTAAAACAAAAACTAAGCATTAGTTGAACGAAAGTGATTATATTTGGAAGGAAATGGCAAAAGGAGACGGTGCGTAAAAACTCGGCATAAATGGAAGGCAGAAAAGCCTGGTCTTTTGACACTTGCCTAATGCTGGCTACTTACATTTAACAGAATACCCAGAATGAGAATATTGAAAGTTTTGATTGAATGTGCATTATAATAATGCATTTGCATGAGACATGCAGCAGACAGATTTTCCATATCTAATAATTCTGAAAAGTATAAATGCCAGCAGCTCACTCTACTGTTTGCTGCTCTGTGGTGGAAATAAAAAGGTGTGAGGAATCGGCGCCAGGCCCAGTTGTGATGTTAATGTCATTATTCCTGGAGATGTGAGGTCGACTTCCCTGTCACGTTGTTTGGTGTTTGGAGTGTTATCCGTCATATCCAGGCGGTGGCCTTTGCTTTTAACACCTCTTCACTTTGATATGCACTAACCTCCCTTCCTCTCCAAGAGTTATATTACCGGAAAGAGTGACGTTTTTTCACAGCCTGCGTCTGAAACATGTAGTAGTACAAACTGTAGGCCTTTAAATTGGCGTGAATTACAGATTTAATATTCGTTCCTGTTGAAGGCCTAGAATAAAACCGACCAGCTTATTTAAATCCATTAAATGAATTTGGCCCATAGTCTATTGTGGGAATATAGATGTCCATCTTTTAAAAAAAATTTGAAATCGTCAGCCATTTTGTTTAACTTGCTTACATACAAAAGTTGACAGTGCTTTAACAGGCCTGTAAAACAATGCACTATTTGTGAAGTCGCTTCAGATGTTTGTCTTATCTCCTGTGTAGTGCGTTTCTTTTTAACTTGTCAGCAGAAGATCTGATCGCTGGGGGTTTGAAATGCACTGTACTACAGTTGTCATCAAAGCAAGATGAAAAGGCTCAATTTGCGTATCTGAAGAGAAAGCAGAGAGATGTGGATTTAAGAGGCAGCTAATAAAGATGCTATGTGCAGATAGGCCGGTCCTGGCATGCAGCCTCCTCCGTGTAAATCTTCCATTTAACAGCCTCGCTGCTAAAAAAAAAGAAGAAGAAAACAACCAAATGTTAACGCTGTTTTGTTTTGGTCACCTTTGCAGGTAAAACAAGAACGAAGGAGAAATACAGGGTAGTTTACACAGACCATCAGAGGCTGGAGCTGGAGAAGGAGTTTCATTTCAACAGATACATCACCATCAGGAGGAAATCTGAGCTGGCTGTCAACCTCGGTCTATCGGAAAGACAGGTATGTTTATATCAGAATTAAATACATCTGCATGCTTTATTTTACTGCAATTGTTGTTAAAATGTATAAATGGCATGTATGAAATCTGTATGAGCATTAATGGACAGCACATACAAATGTAGACTTGTTTTTACCTTAAAAAGTGAGGCCTAAAGTCAATATTATCATTAACATATTGGGCACCTTATTTACATTATTAGACTAAAATACATTTGCTTTGAATATTTAAAGATACCATGATGCCGGATAAATTGGCTTTTGTTATATAACATATATTTCTAGTTATTTCATATTTCATGATATAATCGAATCCTTAATTACAACATTGTATTAATCTTTATTTTTGAAATTCACAGTTTTTCAGAATGTTCAGAGAAAATAATGACAAATGGAATGTGAAATATAGGCCTTTTCATTATAGCCTACGCATATTTAGGCTACTATATTTAGATGTCATATCCATCTGTCATTGGGCATTTTATTACTTTATTTTGGATTAGTAATAAATGGCATGTATATTTAACGAGTTTATATATGTTTTTATTAGTTCATTATTGGTATTTTCTGCTTTTAACGGTAGGGTAGGTAGTTCACTTCAGAAACACTTTTTGTTATATTCCATTGAATGCTCTTAACGTGCCGATAGCAATGAATACATTAAATGCTTTGACAATAAATATATACAAATATTTCATCTGTGGAAGCCGTGGGGCTGTAAAAAGCAGGTCCAATTATCTTCCTCGGCCCGCGGCAGATAATTGGATGGCCTACCTGCCTGTCAGCCTTCCATCTCGTGCACAAACTTATCTCGTGCCATCATAGGTCATGTGCGCGTTCGTGTGTGTTGGAGGAGGGGATCTGTAAGGAAGTCTGAAGGAAGGGGCAGATTTTTTTCGGTTGTGTAGCCTACTTTCAAATTCTAGCTTACTCGAGTTGGTTTCTCCATTCTTATACCCTACCTTTAAGTTCTGCATACAAAATTGACCTTAACATAGGCTATTCAATGTTCATTATTCTAAGTCATTATACAAATAAATAATTTTTACCAGGAATAACAATTTGTGTATTTTGTTAGCTCTTTTTGAATATTTGTTCATGGGTTTTGGAATTTCTTGGAGAGTAAACGAAGTTGCCCACGCCCAAAATGTAAAGTCAATCTGATTTTCTTTACGCCTATTTTCAGGTGAAAATCTGGTTTCAGAACCGCAGAGCCAAGGAGAGGAAAATGATCAAGAAGAAGCTGGGTCAGTCTGACGGCAGTGGGGGGTCTGTGCACAGTGACCCGGGATCAGTGAGCCCCCTGCCGGTGCCGGGCTCGCTCAGTCCCTCGGACATCCACAACTCTATGTACCCTCCTCCGGGAATGAACATGTCATCTATCAGGAATATACAGCAAGTGACTGTGAATCTGTAACAGTTCACTCCGGACCATGTAACAAAACTGAGCACTCCGACACGCTGACAGGACACTTGGATCTGAACTCACGTCCTGAAGCACCAAGCTGTGGATAAAGATTTCATTTATAGCAACGAAATACTGGAGGCTCTTGAAATATTGCTTTTTTTTAATTAATATAGAATAGTTCTAATAACGTGGGGATTTAAAAGAAAAACTAAAAAATCGACGTGTTTCAAACTTAAAAGCTTTAAATTTGTTTGTGAGTTAATAAGATATAAATATCGTTTTTTGTATGTGAAGAAGTGTATGTGAATAAAATGAGAATTCAGGGACATTTTAATGAAGTTTTTAAACTGGATTGTATGTAGCTCGCCATGCAAACGGCTTTGACTTGACAAATCATTTACACGTTTTCAGCACAATATTATCCGCTTTAGTAAAGCAGGGAACAGCTGTTAATGATACAGGTAGAACGGTCGTTTCATGGCAAAATGTAAATAAAATGTTGTTTTACAGTACACCTGTCATTTCTATTATTTCTGAATATTGCTAACTTTTGGATAACCATTGCATTACGTTTTTTTATTTTATATTTTTCTTGAGTATTTTACAGATCTACAGCATGCAAGCCATTTTCCTCCATCGGCTTATGGCTATACTTCATATTGTTGCAAGTTACAAATTCAGATAAAGAACAAGTTAAGCCTCAAAATAGCTGTAAGCAAGATGTAGTTTATTACTTTGCCTATTTGAAAATGTGATGTAATTGTGCAAAAGAAAATTGCAACAATTGGCTATCTCTTTCCAAAACTGTATTTACAACCGTGAGCAAATGCATACTCAATGCATTTATTTTTAATTTGGCTATTATGCAAAGCCTGAATAGACTGTGTAATACAAGCTAAAGCGCAATACCAGACTTTCTAATTAACCTTTTTTACCAACACCTTTAATGCATGTTTCATAGTCTGCAAAATGGCCCACACGTTACTTCCCCAAACAGTAAAAGTGTCCACAAACGAATAAAGCAATCAACATAGTGGTTAATGGTAAGCCACCTGTTATATTAAATCTAATTCTAAATATAATATACATGTCTAAAACAACAACAAAAAAGGCATTATGTCATCAGTGGGTGGACTTTCATTTAGCATTCAATGACAGGGAATTTACATCTAATTATAGACTAAAACATTGTAACATAGCCTATTCAGATAGGTGTGTTTTTGGCTACTTAAAGTGAGGCTGGCTCAGAGTTATTGGTTTAAAGTGTGCAATTAGTACAAGTGACATGTTAATTGGAAGGTGGCTAGACTGACTTTCTTGACTTTGACTGTCCATGTCTTTAAGAAGTGTATTCCCTGATGATAATAAACATGTAAACACGTTTAATATATGGCCTTTATTATTTCGATTATGTTACAAACAGTTAATATTTTATGGGAATAGACTCCACTACCATCTATTATATATGCAAGCCATGTGTCACAGATGTCATGTTAGTTTTGGTGATAAATCATCTCTGGTCCCTCTGAGGGGCGATCATTACTTTCCATAAACTCCGGCTCAGCGCGCAGGCTCGTACGTCAGCGCGCAGCCCCTCCGCCGCAGACGTCATGAGCGTCTTACTACCCAACATGGCGGACTTTGATACCATTTATGAGTTGGAAGACGAAGAGGATGAGCAGGTAGTGAGTGAGGAACACTTGCCCAGATACTGTCTGGAGCCCGTGGTGATGCGAGGGGCCGGACACATCACAGTGTAAGCAGAGCCTTGTCCGCGCTCCGGTCTGTCCGCCGGGACGCTTTGTTGTTTTGGTTTCTTCATCCTTTAGCCTGGTTAGCTCATGCTAGCCTGCTAGCTAACGCAAAACATAACAACAGTTAGCTAAGGGCTTGTTCAAGGGGACCGTTGGTTTTAACAATATTCACACGTAAACCAACGGTAACAGTCATATATCCATGGCACTATGGCAACCATGAATGTGGTTGACTAGCAACCGATTTTGATGAGTTAAACTGAGATGAGTTAGGAAGTTTACATGTGGGGAACCGTTAGCTATACATCTGTGGCTGTAATGTGTACTTTACCGACACTAAAACATAATTACTGGACATAATAATTTATCTTTAAAGTCAACACAAAATCACCGGCTGAAGTATTGTCTAAAGTGGCCTTTTTTGCAGATTTCATCATTGTTTACGTGGGTATTTCAGCTTATTGACCAACATTTAAACATCTACAGGGTGAAAAGTAAAGCTAGTCGTCCAATATGTTGTATTAAGTGAGTTTTATTCATAACAAAAGTCTACAAGCAAAAAAAGGTTCATTACTGTCATTCTCATCAAAATATCAGCCACAGCTTTAACCTGACTAGCAGATGCTGAGTCCCAGCTTGCAACATTTCTTTAAGTTGGATTTTTAGACATAAAGTGGGGATATACATTTTAAAACTCAACATTATCCGTTACTTTTCACAAAGTTATAGTTGAGCTTTGAATTTTCCAGGAAAGACCAACATGAGGAAATATTCTGGCAAAGTTAAATACAATATACTACAATATATCCAACAGACCAACAGAGATTATCCCTGGCCTTTGTTGGTGTTTCAATATATATATTATATACTTCTTCTTTTTTTTTTTACAACTTTTGATAAATATGTGGATAGTATGCCCACTTGTTTAATAAGTTAGAGTCTGACATCTTATAGAAAGCTTGAAAGCCTATCCCCCTAGTTATAAATTGTAAATGTTTTTGGGGAAGGTTGTAAGTCCTTGCTTACTCATCTGGACTGCCATCCATGTGTATGTGTGGGTGATTTAATGTACCACTCTTCATAATGCCAACTATTACTGTATAGTTTGTGAACAAGCACGTTAAGTCTCATCATGTGTCAAACTAAATATATTTTTCTCTGGACTATTTTTGTTCTTATGTTCATTTTAATAGCATATTGTGTTCTTATTTTAAGATACATTTTAATTTGTATATCAATGCTCACATTTTGTTTGTCTGTTTCCAGGTTTGGACTGAGCAACAGATTTGACACAGAGTTTCCCTCTGTTCTCACGGGAAAGGTACAGTTGCTTTTTCAGTTTCTTGCACTTCATTCCTGCAGGCTGCTTTGTGTTCAATTCCAAGTAGAAAGAATTTGAAAAGCAATTAAAGCCACAGTGATCCAATTGTTCTGTTGGGCCTTTAACTGCCCCAACTTCCCCAAACTGCCCCATTCAAACCTCCCAGAGTGGTTTTGATCTGACCGAGCTGCATTTCAAGTAACGCACCACAGTGTATAGAAAAGAGCCTGAATGTGCTGCTGTCCAGCTCTGTAAATGAGTAAGCCGTCTATGGGGATCAGTTGGCGGGGACCCCAGTGTTTTGGAGGGTCCAGCTCCCGGTGATAAAATAATGAAATGAAGACTCGGCCGTAGACAAGAAAGGAAAGCTTCCTGGGTCGGACGCAGAAACACAAAAAGGCTGCAGGGGTAAGAGCAGGCCGAGGGAAGTGTGGTGCAATAAAAAGTACCTTCAGTATTGTGACCCAGGGTGACATGTGATTGATGAGGTCACAATTATGATGATTGAAGGTTGCAGATCAGGCCCTGCTGGGCTTTATTCTGAGGTCTTTGGCTGTTTGCAAAGAGACCTTTGCATCCTGTCATAAAAGATTACGACCCCCGTTTTATGGCGTACAGACTCAGCGAGGAATGAGCATCCATTCAAGTTGTTAGGCCGGCGCAGCCACAGGCACTGAGCTTATCTCTCCTTTGAGTCCCTCCTTGCCTTGAACAGTCTGGAGCTAGGTTAGCAAATCAGAGGCATAGTCTTTAGAGATCTCATCTCTGAACAACATCTGCAAATATCTACCTGTTGGTTTTTCTAAAGCTCTTTGATCTTTGTGCACAGATTTTATTTTGAGCAAATTAGGGATCTTTTCATGTCAGCACCACCTACAAACACTTCTCTCCCCCTCTTGCACTTAGTAATTAGGTTATTGCTTCAATTGTCTGATAAACCTCCCAACTACATAGAGCCTCTAGGAGTATATTTTGGTATGCACACATACAATCTTTCTTCTTCTTCTTCTTCTTCTTTTTTTAGGTTGCGCCAGAGGAATTCAAAACCAGCATCACCAGGGTGAACGGCTGCTTGAAGAAGAACTTGCCTGTGAATGTGAAGTGGCTTCTCTGTGGCTGCCTGTGCTGCTGCTGTACAGTAGGCTGCAGTCTGTGGCCTGTTATCTGCCTCAACAAGAGAGTGAGTCCCAGACCTCCTGTGACACCAGTCGGACAGTTTAACTCTCCCTTACATCAGCGCTGATTACTCAGGGGCTGTTATAGCAATTCAGCCGCATTGGTCCGAGTGTAGAGGGTAATAACAACTCCTGTTCAATTAGTGGCTCTGTGTAGAAATGACACATTGCACTGCACAGCTCCTCTCCTGCTCTGTTCAAGGGTGTGTCATTTAAAGGTGGTGTTACCACTCACATGTAATGGCAACAAAGTGGAAATTACTAGCTGGTAATTCAGGAGTGTAGTCCATAAATCCTGACACTGTGGTGGTTTACTGATACCTGTAAAGTATTTGCTCGCATTAACATACACATATTTGTTCTCTTTTCCTACAGACAAGACGGTCCATTCATAAGTTGCTAGAGTGGGAAAATAACCGGTTATACCACAAGGTGAGGATGACAGATTGCACTTTAGCACCTGTGTGAAAGTGCTTAAGTGTCCGTGTCAGTGAGCAGCGCAAGTTGAGTATCATCGTGACGGATAACGACCATTAATCTGTTTTGGAAACTCTAACCTGCCACGCGAGTCTCTCAGAGCTGCGTCAGATCTGGAGCTGGAGGTCTGAGAGGGCCGTGAGGTCAGCAGTAAAAGGCCGTGTTAATTTTGTTTTGTCTCGCAGCAACAAATTACTGCTAGTAGCTGTGCAGAGGCATAAAGGAAGCTCTTCAGGGTGTCTGGCCACAGTTTGACCCCGGCCAGGCCAGACAGCCCTGATCCCAAATGCCCCCGACACTGAAGGGGAGATTTCAGACAGATTTTCGTGTGTGTGTGTGTGTGTGTGTGTGTGTGTGTGTGTGTGTGTGTGTGTGTGTGTGTGTGTGTGTGTGTGTGTGTGTGTGTGTGTGTGTGTGTGTGTGTGTGTGTGTCTTTGTGTGTGTGTGTGTGTGTGTGTTTGAGAAGGAGAGGGATGGTCACTCATTGTGTCTGTGTCTTTTCTTCTCTCATCAGCTGGGGCTGCACTGGAAACTCAGTAAAAGAAAATGTGAAAGCAGCAATATGATGGAATATGTAAGTAGGCTGACCGAACAAACTGCCTATGAATGATTAGACAGTTACTGTATTATTTATATTAGTGATTAAGCAGCAACTGTTTTTATTGATTTATTGATAAATAATGCTGTAAAATATCTTTAACATTCTCAAAAAAAGTGAGTGGCATAATTCCTAGGAGATAGGATTACTCAATCTGCAACATGTCTCATTTATTCTTGTAATCAGTCCAAAATGACATGGTGTATTAAAGCAAACGTCCTAAGAAATGACAGGCCCAATTAAAAAAGCATTCCCGTTATGTATACACATCTTGCCATTGTTCAAAAATAAAGATTTGTCTTGTATTTCTCTCTCTGTAGGTGATTCTTATAGAATTCTTACCCAAATATCCTATATTCAGACCGGACTGAGGAGCCGTTGACAGACTGGACGTGTGGCCCTTGAATCTTCTCCTTAGTGCCTTGTATATACAGTATGTTGGAAAAGGGTCTGCACCGCTGTCCCTCCTGACGGCCCCCTACATCTCCCAGTACCTTGTACATTAGAATTTGCAACACTGTCACTTTGCTTTAGAGCAGATTTTGCACTTTTTCCCGACAGATCCAGACATGTCCCCTTCGTTGCACTCGGATGTGTTTTTTTGTTACATGTGACAAATAAGTGAAACTCTCCAAAAGTGCATTTACCCCAAAGAACCATCAGCTCATCCCATCCATGATATCAGTAATCCCTTGCAAAGAATGTGACGCCTCCACCTTCCCAAACTGTCCTTGCCTTATGTATGACCTTTTGTTTTTAAATAACATGTAAGAGGAAGAGGAGGAGGAGGAAGGCCCTGGGTTCCTCAACAAGTCAGTCCATTAAAATGCTGGTTGTTGGGTTTGAATCCAGTTCTTTGCAAGAAGATGGGATGGCTGACATTGCCTAGCGTACAGTGTACGTCCTCACCTTGTGTTCTCTTTATATTTGACCCTCTGTACCTGGGAGCTAGCTAGTATAAAACTTGACCTGTAAATATAATGTTGCCAAGGCACAC